CCCCATTTTAGCCCACCTCCTCCAAGAAGCCCTCCTAGGCTCCTCAGGGCCCTCCCAGCTCAGAGTTGCATCTGCCGCTGACTCATGCTTCCGGGGGTCCCGCCAGCAGCCCCCAAGCTGATTACCTCCCATACTGCCGGTTACGGACCATCTGCTTGCAACCCCCAGATTCATATGTGGAAGCTCTTACCCAAAGGGAATGGAATCGGGGGGTGAAGGGGTCGCGGGGGTGGAGCCCCCATAGCGGGACTCAGGCCCCTGTGAGGAGAGACACCGGAACGCTTTCCTGTGCCTCCGCGCAGCGAGGAGGCCCCAGCCGCAGCTGGAACACAGCCAGAACCAGACCCCACGGAACCACCCCCTGGGGGCTCACCTCCCCTATGCCCCATCACCAGGGGGTCATGTGCACCCTGGCCCTGCCCTGGCGGCCACCTGCTCCCGGGGTCACGGGTCTCCCCACCCTGCAGAGCCCCTCACCGGCCGGCCGCGGTGGCAAGCGACCACTCGCGACCTGGGAGCGGAGACAGCACAGAACACACCCTGGCCCGGCTAGGGCGGCTCCTCACCCCGCCGGCCACGGGCCCAAACCCCGAATCCTGCCTCACCAACCTCATCTGTCTGCTCTCCACTCGACATCTGCTGGCATGGAGAGGCAGGGCACTGAGCCAAGGCCGGGGGGCCACTGGGTGGCCGCTCCCGGCTGGCCCCCAGCTGAGGGACAGCTGTTACAGCCGCAGCTACCGGAAGCGCTCACGCCCCAGGCACTCGGGGGAGCGAGCCAGTGACCGACCCGGGAGAGCCGCACAGGGTCCCCCAACAGAGGGCTGGGTACTCTGAGGAGCCCTGACCACGGGTGGGAGGCATCAAGGGGTCCGGCGTGGGTGTCCCCGCCCACTGCCCCCCCTGATCCTGGCCCTGGTGGAAGAGGAGGGTCGGCCAGGCCCATCTGGCCTGTGCTGTGGGCGTCCAGCCCCCAGCCTGCTCTCCCAGCACTCCCAGCTCAAGCTGCCCTGGAGTTCCTCCAGCAGGGCCTCAGCCCAGGGTCAGGCACAGCAAAGGGACGGAAAGTCAGGAGCCTGGGAGAGGCCACACAGGGCACTCACCACCCTGTTCCAGAACACGGTTCCACCAGGCCTGCGGCCACCAGCCAGAAGCTCGGGCGACAGTTTCCCCTGCCGGGGGCTCCCTGACCTGCCCTCCAGGCCCAGGGGCCTCCACGACTGCCTCCTGCAGACCCAGACACGACGTCTGTCCACCTGATGGCCACACGGGGGGGCCACAGGCATCGGTGTTAAGGCTGCCCCACCGGAGGCCGGGGCTGGGCGACAGCCACCCCAAACCCAGGCCCAAGGGCAGGAAGAGGCTGAGCGTGCAGACGAAGCAGGCTCAGTCGCGGGAGAGCAGCAGGGTGATCCGGGTGTCGAGAATGACACTTGGGGGGAGAAAGAAGGAGGGGCACTTGCTGGGACCTGGTGGAACCCCAGCTGCCCCTGGATTTTGGGGTGAAGGCAGAGCCGGGGTAGACACGTGACTCTCACTGCAGGCCTGAGGTCCTGGTCTGCGGGTCCCCTCTAGGCCCAGGGTCTCCTGGCCTCCACCATCTGCCCAAGCAGCGGGCACCTAGGGGCTGGGCCTGACCCCCGGGGGAGCCACAGGAGGGGCGCCCTGCCCCCAGCCCCTCGGTCTTGCCCGATGCCAGGGGTCTAGACTGCCCCGCTCTGCGCCCGGCAGCGGGGCACCTGGGGCCGCACACACCAGCCCGCCACCAGCCACCGGCCCACCACTCCCACAGGTAGTGGCAGCTCGCCAGACAGGGGCACGGCTGCCACAAAGCCACCCCCTGGCTCCCATATGGAAATCTTTCCCTAACACACCCCGAAGCCATGGCTTTCAGTCCTTCAATGTGACAGGGATCGGGGGGCCAAGCCTTAGGGGTGGAGCCGTACCCGCCCATCCCCAAAGAACATCACACTGACAGGTGGGGCCCAGAGGGGTTAGCTGACCACTATGCACTCGGGATCCTCTGGAAACCAGAGTCCAGCAAACCCAGGGTCCCAGGGGCTCCCTGCCTGGGACGAGAGCCGGGCCCCAAGCCTGGGCAGGAGCTTTCTGGAAGCACCAGCCAACAGTGAATGCCAGTGTCCTCAGGCAGGCTCTCGATCCCACACCAAGGTCAGGTCAAGGCTGCTGGGATAGCCACTGCCTCGGGGCCAGCACCCACCCTCTCCACTGAGCCCTGAAGCTGGAGACGGTGGGCAGGGCCCAGTGCCTAGACACTGGGGCTAGGGGCTGGTGCTAGGCCCACCCGAGCTCCCTGCACCATGTCAGCTGGGCCTGGGTCCAAGGGTGCGGCTCAGGGCCCGGCCATGCAGACAGAGGACAAGGGCAGGGGGTCTATGCTGGGCTGTGAGGCCGGACAATCACCCACTTGTCCGGCCCACGGGTTCCGCTGCCCAAGGCTGGCCAGCAGGAGGGGCCTCTGTCACCCCCACGGCCAGGGAACAATGGCCGCACACACACGCTTATCTCACGCTGTTTGCTCAGCACACACGAGCCTCCCGGGGTGGCACCGGTGTACAGAAAGGGACATGGGGCCCACCGCCAAGGAGCTCCCACCCCACCGGGATGGAGCCGGACCTGGGCATGGGCAACGCTGGAGGCCAAAGGCCGTCCGCTAACCGTGCACACGCAGCATGACCAGCCCCGCGGTGATGGGCGCTGGAACACATAGTAACATTTTCCAGGAAACTCAGAGTCTCACACGTACACACGTGCCCAGGCTTCTCTACTCCAGGCCGCGTGGGCAGCCCTGTCCCAGTCCCTGTGACCCCACCCCTGCTGAGACCAAGCCTGAGCCCCTTGAGCTGCTGGGGGGCTGACACTGGGGATTCCAACATGGGGACCCCCGGCCTGCCACAAGCCCTGGCCCCTTCCCCAGAGTGTGCACGTGACCACAGTTCCCCTGCCTCTGGTTCCATCCGTCCCTGTCCCCTGGCGCATCCCGAGGCATGGGCACCCTCGAGGCCATGGGACACCTGGACACGTGGAGGACAGGAGGGGTCGAGGCACTGCTGGGAGACAGGACAGCACACTCTGTGCAGAGTGTTGAGTGGAGAGATGGAAAGAGGGGCAGTCAGCAGGGAGGCAACGAGTAGACCATGCCAAGGCCCTGTGGTCGGGTGCCTGCTGGGGGTGCTGGGGTGGGGACACCACTAGCAGGTAAAGCAGTTGGGACCAGCAGGGTGTGGGCAGAAAACAAGGCCTGGGGCTCCCTCAGCCCTGGCCTCAGGGGACACGAGGGGCACAACCTCAACCGCCCACCTTAGGAGGTGGTTTAATCGGTGGGAGAGGACCCCGGCAGCCCAAGGACATTTTCTCAGCGGGGTTCTGGGCCTGACACGTCTCCTCCCCACTGCCCCCCAATCTGGGCGCCACCCACCCAGCACCCTGGACAGGACTGAGGTTCAAGGAGGGCCCACCCCGCTCCCACCCATGGTTCAGAGCTTCGGGAGCCCCCCGATGAGAGAGTGAGCTCTCCGAGGTCAGGGAGAGCACGCAGCGGCCCTATGGCCTGTGGACCAAGAGCCCAGGCTGTGTCCCCTGGCCCTCCCCGCCGTGACCCCAGCCAGGGGTGCCAGAGCATCCAAGACAGCGTCTCAGAACTATGCCCTCCCCACCCACCTCTGCTTCCAGTAAAGTAGGGGACAGGAGCACCGAGCGCGCCTGGGGACCTCCCATCCGCCTGGCCAGGGCTGGCCACCCGCTACGTGCCGGTCTTTGTCCAAACAATGTTCTATCAAAACTAAAGTTTACAGGGTGCCTGGGTGGCTCAGTGGGTTAAGCGTCTGCCTTCGGCTCAGGTCATGATCTCAGGGTCCTGGGATCGAGCCCCGCATCAGGCTCCCTGCTCAAGCGGGGAACCTGCTTCTTCTCCCTCTGACTTCTCCTCTCTCATGCTCTCTCTCTCTCTCTCAAATAAATAAATAGTGTTTTTAAAAAGAAAACTAAAGTTTATTTAAGGTAAACACAGGGCATCTACTGTTCTCCGTGGCTGGGGCGCTGGCGGGGAGGGGGTCTGTGAGGCAGGGTGCAGCCTTCCCAGCCCGGGGGGTCCTCAGGGGCAGGAGCCTGGGGTTCCTGCACCCCAAGTCTCCGTGGGGCCAGAACCTCAGGAAAGGGGGAACCCCTGGACCAGGGACCCAAACTCCCACACGGGGCCCCACAGAGGCTCCCACTTAGGACCAGCCTGCCCCAGAGTCGCCAGACCCACACCTGCTCCCCACCTGCGAGAGGATCCCACAAGATCTGAGACACTCTCACCTGCTGACCTCATCTCACTCTGACCGTAACCCTCCCCGATCTTGACCCTCTTCCTGACCTCACCTTGACCATGATCTTGACCTTTGCCCTGATCATGTCTCTCACCCTGGGCCTCACCCTGACCCCTCATGATGCTGGCATGTGTCCTGCCCACTCCCTGCTCCCCGAGATGCTGTCCCCCAGGAGCCATGTTCTTCTCCCAGGGGGTGGCAGGCACACCCCTGCTCCCCCACCTGGGAGGTCGGCACCCTGAGGCTGGCACCCAGCCTCCAGAGAGATGCCCTCCCAGACAGGACGTCCAGCCCCCCCGGGTCACTGCATCCCTCTCCTGTGCCCACGAGCAGCTCAAAGCCCTGAGGGTCAGAAAACAGTACTAGGGGGCACTTCTGGGTACAGCGCGACTCTCAACGCTCCCGGCCAGCCCCGCCCTTAGCTGTGCCGTCAGCCTCACCCTGGAACCTCACCCCCAAGGGCACTCTGCATCGGCTTCCCCTCTCGGGGAGTCCTCCCCTGGAGCTGTCCCTCCTCCAGGTGGGGTAGGGCCCAGCATGCGGGCACCTTTGGGGGCCCTGGGGTCTGAGTGAGGGTTGAGCTCACCCCAGGAGCTGTCCCGGCACTCTGGGATCCCCCCACAGGGGCAGAGGGGGTGCCCAGGGGCCTCACCCACATACCCTGGACAAATGGCCCTCGGCCCCAAGCTACGGCTGACATGCCACACAGATCTTCTTGCCCCCAGGATGGGCCCGGCCGTGCCAGCCTGGAGCAAACCCAGGACGTGTCTGCAGGGCTCCGGAGGGCCTGTGCCAACCACTGCCCGGAGGCCCATGATGATGCGGCAACTGCGCCCGAGGACCTTTCAAAGGCCGAGTCCTGATAACGCGGAGCCCAAGATCCTGTTTGGCACCAGAGCGCCCCGTGGGTGCGGCCAGGGCCGGGACTGCAGCCCCTACATAAGGCGTCCAGGGCTGGCCTCTTGGGCCGGTGGAGCTCACACAAGCCCGCCCATTGTCCTGCTGCGGCAGGGGCCAGGGCCAGCGGTGACCCTCTTCTCCACCGTCATGCTCGGGGCTCGGCTGCTGCTGCTCCTGTCTTATGGGGGGGCCCTGCTCGGCACTGGTGAGTGGGGGCCCGCAGGCCACACTCTAGGGGTGGACAGAAGCCCTCAGAGGGTCCCTTGTTGCCTCATAGACTGGGCCGGAGTCGGGCTGGCCTCCAGGCAGCTGATGGACGACAGGCCCCTCCCTGCCCTGTAGCCATCCCACATGGCCAAGGCCGGGGTCTCTGAGCCCAGCCCAGCCCAGCCTGTGCCCAGGCTGCCGCTTACCCCCGCCCTGGGCATAGTGGCCAGGGAGGAACAATGCTGGGCTGTGGCGGGCAGGCATTCCTCGGGGACATACAGTTCCCTCAGCGACAGTGAGTGTGTGGGCCAGGGGCGTGCTAGGGGCCCAGCACCCAGAGCCCACTGTGTCCCTCTCCCCACTGGGCCCTGGGCCCTGGGAGGGCTGTAGGATGGATGGGGCGGGGCAAGGGCCACACGGGCTCTGGGCCTCACCTTCTGCGCATCTGTAACAGTGGAGGAAAGCTGCCCCCTCACGCGGCTACCATGGGGTTAAACAAGAGGGCCGGAGGGAACACGTGTGAGGGCCCAGGACCCCCACCGTTTTACGAGGCTCAGAAGGGACCGCCCCTCCCAGAGCCCGCCGGGTCTTGCCCACCAGGCCCACAGAGCAGCATCCCCGCTCTCCCCCCCGCCGTCCCCTCAACCAGCAGGTCCCTTCTGCTAACCACTCCAGGCCCCATGCATCCCCAAGCATGGGAGGCAGCCAGCCCCGAGGGGTCCCATGGTGGGCCAGGGAACAGCCCCTCCTTACTGATGGCAGGCACCAAGCCCTCTGCGTCTTCTCTATTCTGCCCGAGAGCCCAGTAGGACGTGCCTGTCCTGTCCCCACAATGCTTCCCCACTGCCCCCTCCTCGGTGGCCCCAGAGCCTTGGCCTCTAAGCCTGCTCTCTAGCCTGGACCCAACCACTGGGGCTGGGCTATGAATGGCTGAGCCGAGTGGGTTTTCCCTGGGCCCGCCCCACCCCTTCCCTCCCACGAAGCCTGTGGCTCTGAGCACTCAGGACTTGGGCTGGACCTGGACCCATCCCTCTGAGACCTGGACCCAGAAGCAGGACAAGAAGGGAGGCCCCTGGAAGCCCGCTGGGGTGGGGTACGGGTGTGGCAAGGGGCTGCAGCATGGCTGGGCCGTGGGGGTCTGGCTGTACCTGTGGCGGAGGGGGACGGCCAGAGTCCGGCCACATATCTGCCAGCACCCTCTGAGGACCGGCGGGCTCTGCCCCCTGAACCAGAGGCTCGGAAAGCATGAGTTCAGACGCAAGAGCCCTGGGGAGCCTGGAGCTTGAGGCAGGTGGGGGGCAGAGCCCGCCGGCCAGGGCGGGCAGGGCAGCCAAGTGCGCAGGGGACGGCGCAAGCTCTGGCAGTCGCCAGCCTGTTCCGGGGCTGGGAAGGGCTGGAGGAGGCGGACCAGGCCACCGTGCAGGCCCCGTGGGGCCAGGGCAGGACTCCGCGCTTGTCCTGACATTCCGAGCGGGAGGTACACAGAATCCCTTGGCCGGTCCCTGGAGCGCTGCTGCTGGCAGGGGGCCGGGCAGGGGCCAGCAGCGTTCCGACAGCCGGAGACGCACAAGCGTGAGGCTGGCGCCCGGAGAGCTGGCAGAGGAGCCACTGCGAGTGGGGCCCGAGCAGTGAGCCACTGGGGGGCGGGTGGTGGAGGCCTCTGGAAGTGTCCTGGGGGTGGGTCGTGAGCTGAGGGCGGGCAGAGACAGGGACCCACGTGGTGGACACCGTGGAGGAAAGGGGCCCAGGGGCAAGCGTCACTGGCCCACTGGAAGCCTGTGTGCCCCCCACCCCACCCGGGGATCCCCCCTGGCAACTGGTTATTTTCCCTGTTCCCCGACATCACCAGAGACCCAAAAACACCGCTGAGCAGAGTGGGGAAGCGGGCAGGGTCAGGAACCCCGAGGGCCGGGTGGGAGTCATGGCAGAACTGGGGGCCCCGCGCCGGTCTGCAGGATGGGAGCGCCAGGACACCATGAGACCGGGAGGAGGGTGAGGAGGCAGTGACCCACGGGCGAGTCCTCCCCTCTCCAGCCGCCCCGAGTCACCAGTGAAGTCATGATTCCCGCCCCTGCAGTCACAGGACTGACGTCGCCTGGCCATTTCTCTGGCAACGGTCAATTCGCTCCCAGGACTGTCTAGGAAGGAGGAAGCAGGAAAACAGCCACTTTCAGAGCCCGATAGAGGGAGATGTCCACTGGGGAGGCTCAGACCTCACCCTGGGAACTCAGGGGGTGGGGTGCAGCCGGACAGACGGACAGCTCGGACAACCACACGCCAACCCCAGCCCTGTGCTGTCAGGTGGCCGCACACCGTTCCCCAGGTCTCCCATGGCCTCTTGCTCAAAGCCCGCCAGGCCCCTCCCCGCGCAGGGCCCCTCCCACCTGCGGTCCACAAGAACCACAGACCCCTGGAGCCCGGGCTGTCGAGGCTGCCGGTCTGTCCTACATGGGCGGGGGGCGGGGTGGGGGGCAGGAGGGGCCGCTCTGTGTCACAGCCAGTGTGCTTGAGCAGGCAGAGTAGGGCGCGCAGCGGGCCCAGGGCTCCTCCCCCAACTCCACCCAGAGGACCGGCCGATGGGGACACAGAGGCCCACCCTCTCCCCCACCACCCAGGGGCCTCTCCACCCTTCCAACACCAGCAACTGCCACCCTCTCCCCCTCAGGCCCCACGCCCTGCCATTCTGGGCTCACAGATGGGCCCAGCTCGTGACATCTGAGGCGCTGAACCCAGCCAGTGAGAGGGCGAAGAGCGCAGCCAGAGCAGGAGCAGCCCCACGGCCAGCGCTGCCCTCCCCACCCCTTTGCTCCGGGCCCACACACTGCACACCGCGGGCTGTGCAGAAGCAGGCGGTCCCAGCGCTGACCACAGTCCCTGTCCACACAGGTCTAAACAAAACGTCCTCTATGCACCCAGACCTCCGGAGGCTGCAGGACTCCCCACCCACAGGTGAGGGCCACAGGCAGCCTCCCAACCTCCAGAGTCACCCAGAGCCCCTGCGCCGCGGCCCTACCACAGAGCGGCCACGGCTGGGGCTTTCCGTGAGGCAACTCCAGCGACTCCAGCGACTCCAGCAGCCCCTCGCCCAAAAGGAAAACTAGCCGGGCTTCCCGGAGGGTGGGGGCACAGGCATCCCACAGACCCCAGGCAGGACGGCGGTTGAGGCCCTGTAAGGCCTGGGGGTGGGGAGCAGACCCCGCCTGCAACGGGGCTCGCCCAAGGGGAAGGGGCTCTTTCCCGCCCAATCCGGAGTGCCTGGAACTTGGGAAACGAGCATGAACTGCCAAGGGCCCAGCTCATGGGGTGAGGGCCCCATCAGCCGGCAGGGGTGGGGGGGACACAGGGCTCCAAGACTCTGCCCACTATCTCCACAGCTCCAGACAAGGGCTGGTGCTCCACCTGGGGGGCCGGCCACTTCTCCACGTTCGACGGCCACGTGTATGACTTCCTGGGAACCTGCAACTATGTCTTTGCGGCCACCTGTGAGGACACATCACCCACCTTCAGTGTCCAGCTACGGCGTGGGCCCAGCGGGAACATCTCCCGGATCATTGTGGAGCTGGGGGCCTCCGTGGTCACCGTGCAGAAGGCGGTCATCTCCGTGAAGGATGTGGGGTAGGCCACGTGGCTGGGCTGGGAGGCTGGGAGCCAAGGGGGTGGCCCCTGACCACTGTGCCCCCCGCAGGGTCGTCAGCCTGCCCTACACCAGCACCGGGCTCCAGATCACACCGTTCGGCCGGAGCGTGCAGCTGGTGGCCAAGCAGCTCGAGCTGGAGCTGGTGGTCATGTGGGGCCCAGGCAGTCACCTGCTGGTGAGGACGCCGGCGGTCGGGGAGGCTGGGGTCCTGAGTCCGGCAGTGGGCCTGGGCTCTGTCGGTGGCTCTGGGCCCTCCCCCTTGCTGGGCAAGGGTCCTGGGGCGCCCTGACAGCACTGTCCGCCCCCCCGCAGGTGCTGGTAGAGAAGCGGCACATGGGCAAGCTGTGTGGTCTCTGCGGGGACTTCAATGGCGAGCAAACCGACGAGTTCCTGAGCGAGGAAGGTAGGTGGGGGCCGGGCCCAGAGCCCCTGCGGCCTGGACCGCAGTGCTGACCCCACCCAACCCCCCTCCCCAGGCAAACCGCTGGAACCACACACGTATGCTGCCCTCCAGAGGCTGGATGACCCCAACGAGATCTGCACCTACACGCCGGTCACCAGGCCCCGGGCCCCACAGGCAGAGCACGTGCGTCAGGCCGCAGGGGCCCTTGAGCCACGGGGGGTGCGGGGGGGCTGCGGGCGGCTGGCCCCCAGGGTGGGACAGGGTTTCCGGCCGGCGTGGGAGGCGGCCCCGACCCCCGTGACCCCACGTGGTCCTCTGGCCAGGCCCAGATTTGTGCCCAGCTGCTGACCCAGGTGGCCCCCGAGAGCAGCGTGTCCAAAGAGCCTTTCGTGCTGAGCTGCCAGGCGGACGTGGCCAAGTGCGCGCTGCGGGGCCAGTGGGACTGCGCCTGTGCCTCACTGTCCGAGTACTCGCGCCGCTGCAGCATGGCCGGCCAGCCCGTCAGCCACTGGCGGCGCCCCAGCCTCTGCTGTGAGTCCCGGGGAGGGCGGCGGGGAGGGCCGGGAACCTTGCCTGGGAGCTGAAAGGAGACTGGGGAGGGGGCGGGGCAGGCGGCGGGGGGCCCTGCCCCCGCCCTGTCTCAGAGCCCCTGTGTGCCTGCAGCCGTGGGCCCGTGCCCAGCCAACCAGGTGTACCAGGAGTGCGGCGCGGCCTGCGCCAGGACCTGCTCCAACCCACAGCACACCTGCTCTAGCTTCTGCACCTTCGGCTGCTTCTGTCCCGAAGGTCAGGGCAACCGCGGCCCCAGGACCCCTCGGAACTCACCTAGAGACAGAGGGGAGACTCCGACCCAACTCCCAACACGTCAGAGCCAGGCCCGACTCGCCCCAGGGGAGGGAAGGGCTCACCCCCCACCCCACAGGCCCTGCAGGCAGGGCACGGAGATTGGTGGCCCTGGAAGACGTGGGACTTGACCCAACTAGGGGCAGTGCATGGGTCTGGGCACGGTGGCTCAGGGGCGCGAAGCTGCAAGTGCAGGGGGCTGGTGGGAGGGCACCGAGCCACGTGCCCAGGAAACCTGTGTCCTACAGGTATGGTTCTGGATGACGTCTCCAGAAACCACACCTGCGTGCCCGCTGCCCAGTGTCCCTGCGTGCTCCACGGCGTGGCCCACAGCCCCGGGGAAGTGGTGACAGCCGCCTGCCGGACATGGTAAGAGCAAAGGCAGGAGAGAGCGAGGGGCCACGGGGGTCCGGGGGCAGCCTCGGCCCAGCAGCGTCTGGGGAGGCTGTCTGGATAAGCCGGTCCCCCCTGCAGCCGCTGCTCCCTGGGCCACTGGGTGTGCACAGAGCGGCCCTGCCCCCGGCGCTGCTCCCTGCAAGGCGGCTCCTTTGTCACCACGTTCGACGCCCGGCCGTACCGCTTCCACGGCGCCTGCACCTACATCCTCCTCCAGGTAGGACACGCGGCTCCCGGGGGGCGGGGGGGTCACAAGAAGCACCCCAGACCCCTGGACTAAGCCTTACCACCCCCCCAGAGCCCGCAGCTCCCTGATGGGGGCTCCCTCGTGGCCTCGTACGACAAGTCTGGATACTCTCACTCGGAGACCGCCCTAGCTGCCATCATCTACATGTCCAGAGAAGTAAGGCCACCCCGGCATGCCGCCGCAGGCCCCTCCCCACTGTGTCCCGCTGGGCCGGCAGGAGGGGAGGCCTCCCCCTGTTCCCGGCACCCCCATGACTCAGGCCACCCTCTCTCCAGGACAAAATCGTGATTTCTCGGGACGAGGTCCTCACCAACAGCGGGAACACCAAGTGGCTTCCGTACAAGACTCGTACGTCCTCAGCCCCTGCCCAGCACCTAGGACCTCACTGGGCCGGGCCCCAAAGCAGCCTGCTTCCTAAGCCCCTCTCCCCCCAGGCAACATCACGGTCTTCAGGCAGACGTCCACCCACCTCCAGATGACCACCACCTTCGGGCTGGAGCTCGTGGTGCAGCTGGAGCCCGTGTTCCAGGCGTATGTCACTGTCGGGCCCCAGTTCAGAGGCCGGACCAGAGGTGAGCCCCTCCCCGTCCCTGTCCAGCACGGCCACAGCACAGAAAAGGCCCAACAAATTCCTTCACATCCAGCACTCATGACCGCAGGCTGGCCCTCGGAGGGCCAGTGACAGCCTTGTGTCCCAGGCATGGTGATGGGAAGACAAGGGCTTCGGAGTACAGGGTGGGGCAGGAGCGCAGGCTGGCCCCACTCACGGCCCGGCCGGTGCAGGGCTCTGTGGCACCTTCAATGGCGACACGACGGATGACTTCATGACCAGCACGGGCATCGTGGAGGGCACCGCCCCGCTCTTCGTGGACTCTTGGCGGACGGGGAACTGCCCGGCTTCACTGGAGCGTGAGATAGACCCCTGCTCCATGAGCCAGCTCAACAGTGAGTGCTGGGCCCTGGGAGGCCTGCGGGTGGGCATGAGACCCAGGCCAGGCAAGTGAGACACCCACGCCTCCCCCGTCCCCCCAGAGTTGTGTGCAGAGACCCACTGCTCAGTGCTGGTGAGGGACGGCACCGTGTTCCAGAGCTGTCACGCCGCCGTGAACCCCAGGCCCTTCTACAAGGTGGGCAGGGCCCATGGGCCAGTGGGGGCACCGGGGACGGGCAGCGGGGGCTGGGGGGCTGGACACCCAGCTACCATGCCATGTCCATCGCAGAGGTGCGTGTACCAGGCCTGCAACTACGAGGAGACCCTCCCCCACGTGTGTGCCGCCCTGAGTGACTACGCCCGCGCGTGTGCCACACACGGCAACCTCCTGCGGGGCTGGAGGGACAGCGTGAACTGCAGTGCGTGCTGGAGGATGCGGGCGGGGAGGGGTGCGGGGGCCCTACAGACACCCGCCCAGTCCCACCCAGCACCCCGAGGGCCTGACCCCCAGTCCTCCCACAGCCACCCCCTGCACGGGCAACCAGACATTCGGCGACGACATCCGGGCCTGCGGCCGCACGTGCCTATCACTGTCTGACCACGCGGCCGAGTGCCACCCGAGCGCCGTGCCCATGGACGGCTGCGCCTGCCCCGAGGGCACCTACCTCAACCACAAGGCCCAGTGTGTGCGCAAGGCCCAGTGCCCCTGCCTCCTGGACGGCAGCAAGCTCATCCCAGCTGACCAGTCCGCCATGGTCAACGGCGCCATCTGGTGAGCGTGGGGCTCCCCGGGGGACGGTCCCCCCACCTGCAGCCCCCAGCCCGCGGCTGGCGCGCTCACACGGCCCCCCTCTTGCAGCTACTGTGTCAACGGCCGGCTGAGCTGCCCCGGGCGCCCACAACTGCTCCTGGGTATGTAGCTGCCCTGAGGCCGGAGGCCTGGACTGCCCGGTGCGGTGGTCCCTCCAAGCCCCTCACCACAGCTCTGCCCCCCTCCCTGCAGCTACCTGCTCGGCCCCCAAGACCTTCCAGTCCTGTGACGAGTCATCGGAGAGAACATTTGGGGTGGCCTGTGCCCCCACATGTCAGAGGCTGGCCACCGGCACCCCCTGCGTAAGGCCTGGGCTGAGTGAGGCACACGGCGCTTCCCAGAGGGCACTCCCCGCTGGGTGGGATGGCCAGTTGGTCGTGGAGGCCGCCCCCAGGGCCTCTCCCTAGAGAGCAGATTTTCACAAACTCCCCAGGGAGGCCAGGGCCCGCTGTCCCGCTGTCCCCATCACCCTGTGATGAGGGTGGCTGGTGCCCAAATGGGGCTGAGGGAGTCAGAAGGGGCCCCTGAGGACTGTGGGTCAAGTCCCCGCCACTTGGAGAGGGGACACAACAGCTCAGGAGTGACACAGAGGCACCAGAACGTGCCTCGTGGCCCCACTAAGAGCGAGGCCTGGAGCAGGGGGCACGCAGGAACAGACCGGGAGGAGCCCTAAGGGTCTCAGAGGGGCCCGGGGCAAGGGCAGCAGTTGGCAAAGCCACCCTCCCAGGGCCGCTGACCCCCTCCCTGCAGGTACCCACCAAGTGTGAGCCTGGCTGCGTCTGTGCCAAGGGGCTCTACGAGAACGCCACCGGGCACTGCGTACCCCCCGAGGAATGTCCGTGCGAGTTTGCGGGGGTCTCCTACCCCCGGGGCGCAGAGCTCCACACCGACTGTAAGACATGGTAAGCCACAGCTGCCCGGAGCCCCTGGTGGCCTGGGCCTGTCCCTTGGGTCCCCTGCCCCCCCCAGCAAGGCCCTGGTCCAATGGGAATGCATGTGCAGCCACCGAGAACCCCCCTCCGTCCACAGCACCTGCTCTGGGGGCCAGTGGACGTGCTGGCAGAGTGCCCGCTGCGCCTCCACCTGCACACTCTACGGGGAGGGCCACGTGGTCACCTTCGACGGCCAGCGCTTCCTGTTCGATGGCAGCTGCGGGTACATCCTGGCCACGGTAAGGCCCGCCCAAGCCATGGGGGCAGGGGCCCAGGGGCCAGCAGGTGGGCCCCTCCTCAGCGCCCGTGTCCCCACAGGACGGCTGCGGGGCCAACCACTCGCAGCCCAGCTTCACAGTCCTGACGGAGAATGTTGTGTGTGGAAAGTCGGGCGTCACCTGCTCCCGGGCCATCAAGATCTTCCTGGGGGTGAGTGGGCCGGGCACCCCAGCCCCCAGAGCCCCATGTCCCGGCCTCAGGGTGCCCCCAGATCACCCGTCCGCAGGGCACGCAGCAGTGTCTCCTGGGGCTGGACAGCTGTGCGAAGGGAAGGGCTTCTCCCAGAAGCCTCACCCTCAGCCCTTGGTGCAGTTTCCACCATTTTCTGGAACATTCTGCCAAACCCAGTCTCTAGAGGACAGGCCCCCAGCAGAGAGCCGGCCCGGGCGGGCCCAGCCCACGCGCTCCCTTACAGATGGGGTCCGCCTGCCTCACAGAACTTGGGCAGGGGACGCAAAGCCCGGGGGCCAGGCAGCCGCGTGACGGCCCCGCCCCACAGGGTCTGTCCGTCGTGCTGGCGGACAGGAGCTACACGGTCCACGGGGAAGACCCACACGTGCGGCTCCGGGTGGGCACCGGCTCCCTGAACCTGGTGCTGGATGTCGCTGTTGGCAGCGGCTACAACCTGACCCTCGTCTGGAACAAGCGCATGACCGTGTCCATCAGCGTCGCGCGTGGCAGCCAGGTACCGGCGCCGCCCCGGGGCCCGGGTCCGCCCACAGGCAGGGGCGGTGCCCGGCCTGACGCCAGCCCCCCCACAGGGTGCCCTGTGCGGCCTGTGCGGCAACTACAACGGGAACATGAAAGACGACTTCGAAACACGCAGCAACTACGTGGCATCCAGTGAACTGGAATTTGTGAATTCGTGGAAGGACAGCCCGCTGTGCGGGGACGCCGGCCTCGCGCTGGACCCCTGCAGCCTCAACGCCTTCCGCCACAGCTGGGCCACGCGCAAGTGCGGCATCATCAACAGCCCCACCTTCGCCGCCTGCCACAGCCAGGTGTGCCCGTCCCCGTCCCCCGCTCCCGGCTGCCCTGCTCCCGGCTCCCTGGTTCCCCGCCTCCCCACGTCCCGGCCCCACGGTTCCCCAGTTCCCCGGCACCCAGCACAGGCGGCACTGACAGCAGCTCTCGCAGGTGTACCACCTGCCCTACTACGAAGCCTGCGTGCGAGACTCGTGTGGCTGTGACACCAGCGGCGACTGTGAGTGCCTGTGTGACGCGGTGGCTGCCTACGCCAAGGCCTGCCTGGATAAAGGCGTGTGTGTGGACTGGAGGACCCCAGACTTCTGCCGTGAGTGCCCCCCGCCCCTGTCCATAGGACCACACACTCTGGGGCAGGCACGGGTGCGGGTTCAGACCCCCTGACCCACGCACCAAGGGCCTGACAGGAGCCCCTTCTCCCAGCCGTCTACTGTGACTTCTACAACACGCACGCTCCGGGGTACAACGGGTACCAGTACGACCAGGAGGCCAAGTGCACGTGGCACTACCAGCCATGCCTCTGCCCCGAGTACCCACAGAGCCTCCCAGACACCAACACCGAAGGTACGGGCCAAGCAGGGAGCCCCTGCATCCAGGCTTCCGGCACAGGCGGGGGCTGGGGGTGGACGGCGGGGGAGGAACCAGGCCCGGGCAACAGGGGAGTCCCATCACCTTCTGGACCCCTCCTCTCCAGGCTGCTACAACTGTTCCCAGCACGAGTATTTCGACCACAGCACGGGGACCTGCGTTCCTTGCAGTAAGCTCCGTGGGCCACCCAGCCCCCACACCCACCAGCCTCCAGCGGGAGCTGCCAGCCCACACACACTTCCAGCCTCCTTCCTGGCAGCCCCCTCTGCACGGCTGTGCCCTGGGGTGCGGAGCCTGCCGGAAACCCCAGCAACCTGGGCCAGGGCAGCAGAAACAGGAAAGGCAACAGCCTCCACTCTCCGCCCCAGTCACTAGCCACAGGGCAGAACACCCCACGCCCCGCACCAGCCGGCTGGGGTGTGTGGGCACACAACCTGCTGGGGACTCAGCACCAGGTCACCTGGGTCGCTGCCTGATGGGGCGGGGGGGGGGGGGGGGACAGGGAAAAGATGGGGATGGAGACCAGGAACAGGGGCCCAGGCTCCCCCGTGGCGGCTCCATCCCCCAGGGTCCTCAGCTGGGCGAGGGGGCAGCGCTCCTGACTGCCCCTCTCCTTGCAGTGCCGCCGCCCACCACGCCGAGGCCCAGCACAGGTGATTACACACACTAGGTGGCAAGGAGAAGCAGGCCTACGCCGGCTCTGCCCTGGCTCGGCGGGACAGCCCCAGGCCAGCCCAGGCTGCGTCTCTTGGGCACTGTGGTGTCCAGGGTCCTGGCCACCGACACTGCCGTCCCGCGGCCCCAGACAACGGGTGTGGGACGGGACAGGGACTGAGCCTGGGCCGCCCCTGGGGCCGCTCTGCACGGAGGGAGCGGCAGGTACTGCCCCCAGAAGTCAGCGGGGAGGGGGCCCGCGATAGCCCCCAGCCCCAGACAGCCAGGGGGAACAACACATTTGACGGGGGCTTAGGTGAGGGCTGGGGGATGGGGCCCCACACCTCCCCAGAGACAGAACGTGCCACTGAGCTCATTCGCACACACAGAGCCCCCGTGCTTCGGACCAGGGCTTGGTTTCTGTGAAAGTCTTTTTCTGAGGATAACTTGTCACAGAATGGGACCGTTCTTTGCTGCCTGATACCAGTGAGGAAAAACACGTAGGACAGGTCACCTAGAGAATCCCTGGGAGCCCACCCCATCCCACCCAGCAGAACCCCTTCCGCAGCCCGGAAACCACAGGGGAACAAGTCATCCATTCTATTACCAAGGGTGGGTGGACAGAGGGGCAGTGGCCCTGTGAGCCAGGGTGGCCAGGGGTGTCAGCGGGGGCAGCCACAACCCTCCCACAGCATACAGCAGCAGGGCGGGGGGACAGGGAGCCCAGGTCCAGTGGGAAAGTACACAGACTCTGGAGGAATGTTCTGAGCACTGCTCCCTGCAGAGTCACCTCGAACCATCCCTGCCATCACCATACGGCCCACGTCGGCACCAGCCCCAACGACCACTCTCAAGTCCACGGCCACAGGACCCATGGTGACAGGGGCCACAACGAAGTCCACAGCATCCACGCTCAGCTCAGTGACGCGATCAACAGCTCAGTCCACAGAGCAGAGCACAGCTTTCCCACGGACCCCAGAAACTTCAGAGACCTCTACACTACCCCCACCAAGTAAGCACATCCACATGCCTGTCCCCAAAAAGGGGCAGAAGCACATATGCCGGCAACACACGGAAGCTGTAGGGGTCGGCACGGTGCTGCGTGGGCCACAATGGGCCAAAAGGTGCAGCGCACCGCCAAGCCACAACCCCAAGCTCACAGCACCACCGACACGCCACCCAACTTCCCCACGGCCATAGCGCCAGACCCCGACCCACCACGACCACCCCACCCCAAGTGACCACAGACCCAAGGCCATATCACAGCTCACAGTGCACCTAGAGCACACTCCCACACCCTCAGACAAGACAACACAACCCCAATCTTCCCAGAGCATTGAGAGAAACACACGTCCCAAGACAAAAAAGGGATGTTAAGGGGAACATGCCCAACCCAAGCTAAAGAAGCAGCCCGAGAGTACGGAAAGGCACAGGTGCCACTAAAGGCATTGGGAAGGGACCACAATGAGCACATCACAAAGACGCTGCAAAGGAGTAACAAAAACAGCGAAAAAAACACATTGAGAATGCATGAACAGACACACACAGAAAACTCCTGGACATCACCATCGGGGACGTGAGAAGCCCGGGAGAGTAGGGCCATAGGCAGCCACGGGGGAAAGGAAGCGTGGACTGCCAATGTGTGTTCAGAATCAACAGGACTGACTGACAAATGATGTTTCCACAGCAGCCACAACTCACACGAGGACGCCAACCGCTCATGAGACTGCACAGACACAGCACACAGAAGCAACGTCGTCCCAGGAGAGCACGAGCAGCTCCAACAGCAAACAAACGACCCTCACACACCACTCGACACACGTGGCCTACAGGACCACACAAGGACAAGCCACTCCAAGCAGGACACACACAACGCTCACTTCGCAATCCACGGCCATGCCCCCTGTCCCCAACACCGCCCACACGACAGGTGCCCCCTCAGGGACTTCTTTCTGGACGACCGCGGCCTTAACCACCCCATCACGCCCCGAGACCACCCTCTCCACCCACGCTGCCCCCTCCACCACGTCCTCGGTGACTCCCACTACCCACCAACTCATGACCCCAACGCACCCGGAGACCCCAATGGCCGCCTCCACGACGAGACCCACGGGCTCCTCGTCTCCGTCCCCGCACGTCCCCATCACGGGGACACAGCCCACGCACATGACCTCGCCACTCACGTGGACCACACACACCCCGAACTCCGTCAGCACAGCCAAAACCTCCACGTCCAGGGA